TAATAATAAGAATAAGAAGAATACTACTACTACTACTACTACTACTAATACTAATAAGAATAATAATAATAATAATAATAATCATAATAATAAAAATAATAATAATAATAATAATAATAATAATAATAATAATAATAATAATAATAATAATAATAATAATCATAATAATAAGAATCATCATAAGAGGAATATTAACAATAAAAATATGAAGAACAATACTAATAATGCGAGTACTAATAAAAAATAGGGATACAAACAAAACTAATAGTAATCACAATACTAGTAAGAATAAGGAGGATGAGGGGAAGGAGGAGGAGGAGGAAAAGTCGTTTTTTTTGTTCTCCCTCCTGCACGCTGGACAATTCACCTTTCGGCTGCAACGAATAGCCACACGCTGGTACGGGGTGGCCTCTGCCTCGCCGCCGACGGAAAAATCAGCATCGGTGTTCGGCTCTTCCCATTCTTTCGTGCCGTAGTCTGCTTCGTCGCGTCCCGCCTCTAGCCCGACCGGCGCCAGACAGCCTCTTGCACCCTTGCGCCCGCTGACTGGAAAAGCGTGTCGGTATGAATCAAACTCTCCTGGACCGAGCCAGCTGGGCCATGGTACCTGAGCCCCATCATCCCACGACCCCAGTTGGGGATAGGCCATTCGAAACCCGAAGGGAGCAGCCTATATCCCCATCCAGGGGGGTAAATCGTGGGGATAGGGATCGGCTCAACGATGCTCAGAATGGTGACGCCACCTCGGAGGCAGCGTCTGCGCTGTGTGGTGAGTCCGCGGGGAATTCGGGGTGGTCGCACGGTTTTGGGAATTGTGCCGTTCTCCGAGGACGTCTCGGGCGACTGGGGCCTCCGAGGTCCCAGTGGGATCCCCCTTCTGCTGTCCTCCTCCTCCTCCTCCTCCTCCTGCTGCTCCTCCTCCTCGTCCTCCTACTCCCCCTTCCCCCCTATTCCTCTTTCTCCGTAGCCATCTTGGTTCAAGTTCCAAACTCGCGCCCTGGAGCTTGGACCTTTGTGTGCAGCCGAAGGGCTGACCCAACGGTGCTCGCGGGGGCCCGGCCTCAACTTTTTTAAATCGGTCCGTGCCCGCTGGCAGATTCATTGCCTTCGCTGCGCAGGCCACGCTGCGCCGCGGGGCTCCCGCTGCAGCTGGCATCGGCGTCACCCCAGCGCACCAGTGCTGTGTCTGCGCCGCCCCCCCCCCCCCGGGGGGCGACGCGCGCGCCGAGAAATCTTGCAGCATGAGCTCCGCGGCAGGCGCTCTGTGGCCATGACTGCTCGGGAGACGACCTGCCACGAGGATGTCTGCGCCACACGTTCGGGCCGGGCGCACGCCTCCGAGGAGGGCATGCAGTGCATCCCGTGGCAGGGGCGCGCGCGCCACCGGCCATGCCACACCCCTCCTCAGCCCCCCCCTCCTCCTCCTCCTCCTCCTCCTCCTCATCCCCTACCTCCTCCTCCTCCTCCTCCTACATCCTCTCCTTCTCCTTCTCTCCTCTCCTTCCTCCCTTCCTCCTCCGCCTCTCCTCCTCCTCCTCCTCCTCCTCTGGGGCGCCCGGCGGGTGATCTGGCGCCGCAGGTGCGGGCGCGGCGCCGGGCGTCGCCCCGCAGAGCTGCGAGGCGGGCGCCCCGGCCGCCCGCCGCGGCCACCGGCAGCTCGCCGAAGCCCGAGGGCAGGGCGCGCCCCCCTGAGGTCCGAGCGTCCGACTCGTCCCCGAGCCTGCCCTGCCAGCTCGCGGGGGCCTGCGCTGGCTCGTTGCGGGGGCAGCTGCGTGAGGGCTCGTCGCGCCGCGCGTGGGGCGCGCGGCGTGCCCCCGCGTGTAGCCTGGGGCTCGTGCAAGGCGACGGCCGGGCGTCAAGCTTCTCGGTCTCCTTCCTCCCTCCCTCCCCACTCCTCCTGTCTCTCTCATCCTTCCCTCCTCCTCTTTCTCTTTCTCTTTCTCCTCCTCCTCCTCCTCCTCTTCTTTCTCCTCCTCTTTCTCCTCCTCTTTCTCCTCCTCCTTCTCTTCCTTCTCCTCCTTCTCCTCCTCCTCCTCCTCCCTCTTTCTTGCGCTCGTCTCGTCTTCCTTCCTCCTCCGTTTTCCCGCACTTTCGCCGTGCTCTCCTCGTCGTGTGCGTCAGGCGGTGGCGAAGCTGGCCGATGCGCGCCGAGCGCGTCGGGAGCGTCAGGCGGCGGCGGAGCTGGCCGATGCGCGCGGGTCGCGCTTGGCATTGAACGTGAGGTCGTACGATGATGCCATCAGGGCGTGCGAGGCGATCGTCTTTCTGCCCAGGGGGGGAGGGGGGGAGAGGTTGGAGGGAGGACGAAGGGGGAAGCAGGAGGAGAAGGAGGAGGAGGAGGACGAGAAGGAGGAGGAGGAGGAGGATGGATGACGATGAAGAGGAGGAGGACGAAGAGTAGGAGGGGGAGGAGGAGGAGGAGGAGGAGGAGGAGGAGGAGGAGGAGGAGGAGGGGCATTATTATTATTGTTAGTAGTAGTAGTAGTAGTAGTAGTAGTAG